CCAAATGATCGCTCAAATTGTCATAATTATAGCCATTCAAATCATCTAAATTATGATCGCTTGTGTTGTAATCATTTGAATTATAATAATCCAAATTTTCCGAATTATAATCGCTCAAATTATCATAATTATAGCCATTCAAATCATCTAAATTATGATCGCTCAAATTGCAAGTGTCATAGTTATGACCATTCAAATTATCCAAATTAAGATCGCCCAAATTGCAAGGGTCATAGTTATGACCATTCAAATTATCCTGATTATGATCGCTCAAATTGTAAGCGTCGTAGTTATGATCATTTAAATTATCCAAATTATGATCGCTCAAATTCTCCATATTGGGACCAATAGTTTTTTTCACTGTGGACTCTTTGATATGGTAAAATAGATTATTATTGTAGAATTCGTTAACCTTCTCTTTGAATTCATTTTTAAGTCGATCGTCCAATTTCAACCAATAAGATCTCATGTATTTAGATATAATCCCATTCTGTGGTCTTGGGGTACACGCTTGATCGAATAATCTTTGGATTTGTTTTTGCATTAGTTTTCGAATAATGATGAAAGCATTGGTCCTTTTTCTCGGAAAATCGAATTTGATTGGATCTAATAAAAAGGTGGTGGAAATGTTTTTATATATTAGAGTATTGGTATATATACCATCACTATTCCAATATTCTATGTGCTGAAGGTTTGGTATAATGTGCATCATGGAAATACCTGGAAAGACAATATTTTGAATTTGCTTGTAGAATTTTTCGTCTCTTTATATAAGAAAGTTGTGATTATTTTTTTGCTGACATGATGATTCGGTTGATCGTTTATTCAACTAAAACATATAAAGTTGGTTCACTTTTAATGGTATAATACATTGTCATCAATAGCAGAGTTTTAGTTGCTATTTACGATCGCAGAGGGGAGTGTTCTTTATGAAAGTGTTCTTATAATTATTTCGAGTGAAGTTTCCGTACTATGGTAATTTATATTGTTTAAATAGATTTTCGGATTCTGTTTCCGGTATATGGAAATTTGAAAGCCGGATCGGAAAAAAATACAGCAAATAAAAATACAAATAAAAAATAAAATAAAGAAATAAAAATTGTAATTATTTTATTAGATAAAATTTAAAATGTTACTAGAAGATATAGCGTGTTCTTATGTCCAGGTTTTATATTTAAGATTTATGATAAATTATTTTTTCATCTACTTCTCTTCGTTCTTGCTTTGTGAGGTGACAGGCTATACGTACCATAAAAAAACAAATGTTTGTATGCTAAGTACACGTATAATCGCGTTAATATCATATATTAAACACGTGATGTAGCATCGGAAATTTCACTTGGAATCATAGTAAGCGCGCATGCACAGGTGACACACAAGTGCCGTAAGGGTACCGCGCGAGTAGTGCACAAAGAACACACTCTCTGCAACCGAAAATAGCAACTAAAACTCTGCTGTCATCAATCCTAATATAGTTGCATGTATGACTAGGAAAATGGTAACCGTTAATAAGTCCGGAGTTTACAATAAATTATGTATCAATTGGAGCCAATAATTTTATCAATTCATCAGCTGCGGTCATATTACGTACGCTCCGGACTAAATGAGTTTCGTTTTCATATACATAGTGAGTAAGTAGCGAATGATGTTAATACTATTCTAACATATATATATATATATTCTAATTGTAACTTGCTTGCTTATGATAAGATTTTTTACGAGAAATACGTTTTTTCGGAGGAAAGGATTGACATCGAATAGTTCATGCATTTGCGCCATGGGCGTGTGAATAAAATTTTACGATGGTAGAAAGACGAAAAAATAAATATGCGCGTGTCGGACTCTAAATCATTCATCAATTGTCGTATCTGGAATGGACAATTTTTCTAAAAAATACTTATATAAATGCTCTTTTTGATTTCCGACTTGTCTGGTCTGGCCAGACGCATATAAATAAGCTCTATAATTATCTGGTAATGATTATCCCACCCGATGTAACCACAAAATCAATAAATAAAACAACTCGATTCGTTTGCAGCTTGGGCTTCGCTGGTTCTTTCGTCGTCCTTTGTTTCTTTGCCGTCCGCACCTTGTTTTCCGTTGTCGAAATTGAAGAATAGCGTCCGCATATTTCCAATGGGTGAGGGTGTGCTGTTATTCTCGTCCTTGTTGGGTAAGTATTTCCGTCCTTCCCAGGATCCTACTTTGCAAATTTTGGCCTTGTTCTCGATTATCGTTGGTCCTACGTTAGGTGGTGACATCAGCTCTTCCTTCGGTGCAACTTTGTCTCGTTCTTTCGTCGGTGTGGTCTTGTCTCGTCCCTTCGTTGGCTTCGGGTTTGCTTCGTACGGCCCAAACTCCATGTACTTCTCGATTGTCTCATCCAACGTAGAATCGTTCTCAATGGTGAGTGTAGCTACAATTCTCTCAATCCTCATCGTTTTGGAAAACATGCCTTTTATGACTTTGACCGCTACTTTATTTTTCGTCGTTGCGAAGATGTATAGGATTCATCACCATATGGTTCTTCCCTACTATCGCTGAACAAACCGGCAAGATCGGAACCGAAATTAATAACAAATTGTATTTCCCGTGCTGCTAACTATGCAACGAAGGCACGGAATATCATTAACATGATAAACGAGTTCTAGAAACCTACCATAATTTTAGTCAAATTGCAACTTATTTCGAATCTGTCAGCAGGGTGTTCACAACGCTCATGAGCGAAATCAGATTGTTAATAGATAAAATAGGAGCTTGGGATCGATAGCAAAACAAATGTAGTTTCTAATGATTTAGGGTATCGGAAAGGAACTCTCATTTTACGGGTTAGGGCTCGAGATGCTTCCTCCCTTTAAACGTCCGCTACTCTATTCATTTATTACATTAGTTTATCATACCAGATTTTTCACCTACGTCGGACTTCTGATTTAACGTGTATAAAAAAACAAAATATTTGATTAAATTTTCAGTACGTAAATAAAATTATTGCAAAAATCTATGCATTTTATTAAAATGATTATCAAAACTTTTGCAAATGTCAAACGCTCAAAAATATGTTTGACGAATCTCATGAATTTTGCTCATGGTAAAGGCAACTAAACCAGGATGGTGAGCTGTTATTTCAGACACATAGCAAGAAAGAAGTGGATCATCTTCTTTTAACATTTGAGGATTTTTTTCACAAAAATAATTAAAGTAACTGTCAAATTCTTCTCGGTAAAACAAACGTCTTCAAATCCCTACGTGTTGCTTTTTTGAGAGAATGGTGAAATATCCATAATTGCATAATCTCCACGAGCAGCGTAAGCACCATAATGCCCATATGAAGCAAATGCTACAATATAAAGCCTTGAGGATTGTAATATGTATTTAAGCAAATCTCAAAATACATTTCCACCATGGCGAGGTTCGGCTTCATTTTCTGACTTATAAATCTTTTGCTCCTCATCAATAATCAAAAATGTTGTTTTATCACATTTATCAATAAATTCATCCCAGGTCACATTCATAAGCTCTTTAAATCTTTCTGCAAATGTCCATGATTCATTTCTTCTTTCCATTCATAACAATTAAATGCGGAAAACACGTTTCGATCCCTTTTTTACTTCGTCTGATTGGAGCAGGCTATGCTCAAGTAGTTGCGTAAGTGCAGTTTTGCCGGCCATTGGTGGTGACTGGACTAGAATAATACATTTCTCAAGCAGACATTTAAGCAGCCTGTGGATAGTTGGTTCTCTCTTACATACGGTACCATGAGTAAGATCAACACCTTCGTAGGCATCACCACGTTCTTCTCCTTTATAAGTTGTTCCTCTAAGACCTCCTATTAAATGCAAAATAAGAAATTAAAGTGAATAAAATGTACATTGGTACGAGAGTCAAAAGATTATGGCTTTATAACTAGCCTTGCATCTGTTGAGTGAAGGAGATTAAAAAATGAAGATCAAGAAGAGGATCAAAGAAGAAATTGCAGTTAGTCAATATTGCAAAATTTCTTTAGTTGAGAGATAAACCATTAGGAGACACTTACCAGTGGTGGCGGGCAGTAGTGGTTGTAGGCTTGGATCCGATTTATAAAATCCGGATATATTCGGATATTAAAAGAATAACTTATTCTTTTTTGATAAAGGTATCGAAATTTGGATTTTTTTATTTAAATTGGATTTATATCCGTTATGAATAATAAATCTGGTTATTATCCGGATTATATAAATCGTTAGCATTTTCTAGCATAGGTACAGTACCAGTTTTTTTACTTATATCTAAATTCCTTATCGCACCATTATCATCGATAGTCTTTTTTATGCTGTCTATATTGTTACGGGCTCTCCATCCAGCCCACACTACTCGTCTTCGCTTCCGGTTTCACACAATAAGGTAAGTTTCTCTAACTCTTGAGGCGTGTTTTCGATTTGGCCGGTCTTCTCACTTTAACTTCTCTACCGACTAGCCTAGAACCCTTCTAATACCAATTCCCTTAGGCAAAACCTCGGTTCTCTCTTGTAGTCGCGTAGCCCAAGTTATAAGTCTACTTTGGCTCACTTAAGAGTTTTTTCGTTAAACGTACTTTATTGTTTATTACTTAAGACGTTACTTACTTTTAACTAAACTCCTTACATGCCACTGAATGGCGCATGTATTTATACATGTGCCTATTGTTTACATGTTTACAGCTGTTTACTATTCTACGCTACTTTAGAAACTTCCGTCGCTAAACTTTCCCATACCTATTTTCCCACCTTAATTTCCCCATGGATCACGACAACAGGATGATGTAACGTGATATCGCGTTACATGCCTGTGCCGATTTTACCCATAACAATATGAATCAAATTTATTACGCGGTAGTTATATCTCTTCCCAGACCTTACATAGATTCCAATCAATACCCGGATACAACATACTGTATGCAGAAGGCAGCTATTAACATCACTAAGCTTTTAAGTTACATGAAAATAGATTGTGAGATTCTTATTGCATATAATACGATCTTGTATTGCCTTTCGCAAGCTTCTACTGTACTATACATTTTATGGATATATGCGATCCTGAATTTTCTTCTCAGGTAAAATGTACATGCAGAAATGCATTCAAGCATCCGAATTTTTGCAAAGAAAAGAAATTTTGTTGATGTAGATTGTAAGAACTTTGTTCGAAGTACAACTCAAAAAAGCAAACGAAGGGATATAGTCAAAAAGCCCTCTTACTTATCATGTAAATAGGATTGATTGGCGTTCAAAAAATGCTTTGGGAAGGGAGGCCGTGGAGGGGAGGTCAATTCGGTTTAAGTGACGCTGACACCATCTCCATCGTCCATACACCATCAGGAACCTGCGGATAACGGTGGTAATAGAATGGCGTCAATTTCTTATCCAACTATAAATTTAAAAAAGTCTCCAATTTTTCACACTTAAATACCCATACAATCGTCAACAAATGTGATTTCCCCTTCACTTAAGCAATTACACCCTACGCCCGCGAAACAGCCAACTTACGTGACCACTTTATACGAAATGCATATCAGCTACATAAACCCGCTCTCACCCTGCAAACCCATGCGCATTATAAAGTTCAACGGCTAGTCGGTGATTTAGAAGACCATTTATATATAGGCGTGGCATTAGGTTCAAATGGAATGTTAGCAGAGTCACCTATTATCCTATTTTCAAATTATTGTTTCCACAACAAACCCTAGATGTGGAATATTGAGATATGGTGTATCTAGCACAACAACATACGAATATAAACAATTCTTCATTCAATAAGACTCCTTTGTCCCAAAGAATAAAAAGTTTCTTTGAAATATCTGATTTTCAAAAAATGTATAAAAATTTTAATTAAAAATAATATTAAATAACTTGTTATTTAAAAATTATATTATTTAATCATCCAAAATTTAAATTCAAATATAAATTTTTATTATATTAACGTTAATAATTTATTTTTAAAAATTATAACCCAATATTTTTATATAAAATCTTAATTTAATTTAAATAAGTTCTAGGTTTATTTTATAAAAGTTTTATTTAAAATATTACAAATATAATTATTATACTTAAAAATCCGGATTAGTTATATATTCGGATTTGAAATTTAGTTATATATTCGGATTTAAATTATATATTGTAACAGTGATCGGTGAGTCTGTCGCTAATGGGAAGTTAAATTCGCGTAACGATAGTAAGTGTTTATGGTGAGGCGGATTTGATTATGGCCGAGAAATAATAACTTGGCTTCCTTTATTTAATGCTCTCTTTTCTTTTATACATTTTTACAACCTCATTACATAATAAAAATGATAATTACAAATTAAGTAAAACTATGAAAAATCTTATGACGAAACATTTGTTATTTGATTTTCACACTACTTCTATTACATAATCCCATTAATTGGCCTCATAGTGCCATGTTCGATCCTCGCACAACCCGGTCACGTGGAGCTATTGTGAATATGTCGCGATTCTTCTTTCTTCCCCCCTTTTTCCAAGCTCGTGCTCGTTTCTATCGCACTCATTGTACTTGCTACTGCAGTCTTTCTTCCCAACATCTTGGAGAAACCTGGAATTCAGCATAAGGCGCATCACTCTTTTCCGTGTTACACTGTATATTTCGCACATAAAGCTGATCATTTCTTATTTAGAAAATTGAGATTAGATAAGTGACTGCTTCAGATTTTATTTTTAGGTGCTCCCAACTAAACTCTAAAATCTGACTTGAACTTTAACTCCCTCTGACTTACTATAAAATTATCCTATTAATATCCCTTGTTGACGCGTCCATTTCATTATATGCTATTACCGATTATTACATCATTCCACCATCATCGACACTATTGTTACGCGACGCGCCTCAATGTCGTGTTCCCATCCCTATTGCTCTCACAACAGTATAAATAGCGACCCTTTATTAAAATCATTTACTGTATAAAAAGCTTATTTATAATAAATCGGGTTACATTTATTAGAATAAAGTTTTAGAAACCTTTCAAAAACTTAGGGTGCACATTTACGAAATATTGTACGATGTCAATTTCCAAAAGATAACTGTACAACAATAGGAATTGACACTGCATATGTAAGTACAGTATTAAATTTAATCAACATTCATGCACATTAAACTTTATCATAATAGAACCAGTGTCATTTTAATACTATCGAAATCTACATAGATGAGTCATTCGTATAATGTTGACTTTTGTTATCTAAATGTAATTGAAGTAAAAAAGGATGAACATGAGGCATTCGAATTTTATGAAAAATTGGCCGGCATGGAGGATTCTGGCGGCGTATGTCAAGTTGGCTATTGTTATCAAAATAAAATAGAAGTTGAAACGGATGAAAACAAGGCATTCGAATATTATCAAAAATCAGCCGAGATGGGAAATTCTGATGGCGTATTTCGGGTTGGTTATTGTTACAGAAATGGAATTGAAGTTGAAAAGGATGAACACAAGGCATTCAAATATTATCAAAAATCAGCCGAGATGGGTCATGCATTAGGAACATTTAATGTTGGCTGTTGTTATCGAAATGGAATTGGAGTTGAAAAGGATGAACACAAAGCATTCGAATACTATAAAAAATTAGCCGAGATGGGTGATGCATCAGGAACATTTAATGTTGGCCACTGTAATGAAAAAGGAATCGGAGTTGAAAAGAATGAACATAAGGCATTCGAATATTATCAAAAATCAGCCGAGATGGGTTATGCATTAGGAAAAATTAATGTTGGCTATTGTTATCAAAATGGAATTGGAGTTGAAAAAGATGAACACAAGGCATTCGAATATTATCAAAAATCAGCCGAGATGGGAGATTCTGATGGCGTATTTCAGGTTGGTTCTTGTTATAGAAATGGAATTGGAGTTGAAAAGGATGAACACAAGGCATTCGAATATTATCAAAAATCAGCCGAGATGGGCCATGCATTAGGAAAAAATAATGTTGGTTGGTGTTATGAAAAAGGAATTGGAGTTGAAAAGGATGAACACAAGGCATTCGAATATTATCAAAAATCAGCTGAGATGGGTCATGTTACTGGAACATATAATGTTGGTTGTTGTTACAGAAATGGAATTGGAGTTGAAAAGAATGAACATAAGGCATTCGAATATTATCAAAAATCAGCCGAGATGGGAGATTCTAATGGCGTATTTCAGGTTGGTTCTTGTTATAGTAATGGAATTGGAGTTGAAAAGGATGAACACAAGGCATTCGAATATTATCAAAAATCAGCAGAGATAGGTAATGAAAATGGAATGTATGTGGTTGCTGGATTCTATAGAAACGGAACAGGAGTAGCGAGGAACTTACAAAAGGCTACACATTGGTATCTTATGTGAGTAAATTATTTAATATATGTATTAATATAGATACCGTAAGCTAACAAAGATGTGTAAACAATTAGGGAAAGAAATCGATTAATAAGTAATATAGTGACATTACTATGCTATTATTTAAATTTATTTATCCATGATCTAATAGTTTATCAATTTAGTTTCGAATGAGTCAATACTTAAAAACTCAGATATTGACAATGAACTTATAAAAATACTTTCTGAAAGTAAATATTCGCTAAGATGGATTCGTTACAGTGAATTTAGAAACATTAAGAAGAAAGGGAAAGGTGGATTTGCAACAGTGTTTCGTGCCCGTTGGGGTGTTAAAACTGTTGCGCTTAAATTGCTTCACGGATCAAGAGATAGTCATAAGGGGTTTATAAGAGAGGTAATTTTATTCAAATATCGGACGTTATACTATTTTAACCTTATTCTAAACTTGTTTTTTGCGTTAAAGTTGAAAGCATATTGCGATATTGGATATAAAAACGAAACATTTTTAAAATGTTTTGGAATATCTAGAGATGAAATTTCTAAAGATTTTATTCTTGTTACTAAATATGCTACAATGGGTTCTTTACGTAGTAAACTTCATTTAGTGGCACAAACATTGTGGAAAGATAAGTTTAAATTGCTAATTAGTATTGCTTCAGATCTTGAAATAATTCATTCAGAAAATCTTATTCACCGAGATTTACATAGTGGTAATATACTATTAGAAAATTTATATAGTGCATATATTGCTGATTTAGGTCTTTCAATATCGACTGATATAGAATCTGGAGGAATTTATGGGGTTTTACCATACATTGCGCCTGAAGTTCTTTGTGGCTCACAATATACCATATCATCAGATATTTACTCATTTGGAATAGTTATGTGGGAAGTTTCTTCTGGAAGAGCTGTTCCTTTTAATCATGAATCCCGAGTCCAATTTCAAATTCA